GGGAAGATTGAAGCTAGTGTGTTTGTTCCCTGTCAGTATCTCTGTTCCCTCACCACCTACTATATTCCTCTCCCTGACAGGAGCGTGCAGCTATATCAGGCATTTTACAACCTCAGGCTCTTATTTGACCCTGAGATGAGCTTCTGACCATACATGTGTACCAACACTAAGACTAACTCCACCTCCATATGATCATCTGTCTCAGCTCATCTGCTGCTGAAATCCTTATCAATACCTGTGCTACCTCCAGACTTGTCTATCCTAATGCCACACCTAGCTGGGTCGCCACTACAATTTTTAGGTCATCCTTGTTCTAATTCACACAATTCAAGTCCTATTTACTCATCATTTTTGTGCTCACTAACCTGGTTTAGCTCCCAGCTTAAGCAATCCCTGAAACTTAACATTCTCATCCTTGTTTTCAAATCCCTCCGTGACTTTTCCTCTCCCAGTCTCTGCAGTCTCCTTTAGCCCCATAGTTCTCTGATATCTAGTGTCTTATTTAATTTGATGACACTCCTGTGAGGCACCTTGGGATGTTTTATTATCTTTAAGGCTCCATGTAAATACAAATTGTAGTTATCACCTGAATTTTTCATTGACCCAACCTAAATTTAACTGTTCGTGAAATGTTTTGGAGAGATTAAGGGCAAGGGTGCGTTGCAGTTGTTGGGAGGATGCATGATTATTAAGCAGAATTGCAGGAGATGAATTTTCTTCACTCTGTGTAACTGTGTTTACAAACCGATGCATACTTAACCCAGAAAATACACAATGATAACTGATTTTGTACATTGTGCTTTACCAGCAAGACACTGACAAACTTCAAATTGATCTGCACATAACCTCTGTGACTGCAAAACTTTACCAGTAGCAATCGTGGTAATCACCCTTCCAGCTCAGGCTCATTCCAAATGACCCCAGGGGTCATCATTAGAACTCACAGTTCAAAGATGATATGTTCTTTGTCAGAGAAACCACCTTCATCATTTTCCTTATTTGAAACTGGTCTCAGAGTGTGAGAGTTCTGTAGTTTTTTTTATAATTGATTCCTCTGATGTCCAGCATCACCGATGACATGTTGGCTTTGCATACACTCCCATGGCCTTCATAAACTGTGAAGGTTTGATCTCCATGAGTGGCCAGTAATGCTGAGTCTTTCTGCTGAATGTCTGCTTACCAAGCTGCAATCATAAATTCTTTATTTCAAGGTAATTTTCAATGCTTGAATTATTGAAAGGAGAAAGTTTACTAGAATGGCTTCATGACACTGCTGGCACAGACAGTGTATATACTCAGAGGGCTTTATGCTCACCAAACATGTCTTGAAATAATACACCCTATGCTTACACTGATCAGGAGGATATCACAGTACAACACTGCCAGGTCATGCAGTGAAAAGGCATTAGCTTTACAGCATGGGTAGATGCCCTTTGGCCCATCATGTTCATGCTGGTTATCAAGCATCTATCTATTCCAAGCCCATTTTCTAGCATTTGGCCCATAGCCTTGTACATTATGGCATTTCGAGTGTGTATGGCATATCAAGTGTTTACAGCATGTCAAGGAGTTTGATTGGACACGAGCATCTGGCCACTGCCCTGCAGAAGCTGGAGGAGGTTGAGAAAACAGCTGGTGACAGTGAGTGAGGTATAATAATGGCTTACTTCTTTAATGTTGTGGTCGTTCCCACCTCTACCTGATAGTGTGTTCTAGATACCCACCACTCCCTGGATGAAAAGGAATCTTCCTGAAATCCCCACTAAATTTCCTGCCTCTTGCTTTACATTTATGCCACCTGGTTATTAACCCCATTACAATGGGGAAAATTCTACCCTATCTAGAGCTCCTACAGAGTGGAAGCAGGCCATTCGGTCCATTGAGTCCACATCAACCCTCTGAAGAGCATGCCACCCAGACTCCGCCTCCTACCCTATAATCTTTCATTTCCAATGACTGACTCACCTAACCTGCACATCCCCGGACACTACTGGCAATTTAGCATGGCCAATTCACTTAACCTTTACATATTAATACTTGCGGGAGGAAACCAAAGCACCCAGAGGAACCGCACGCAGATACGAGGAGAATTTGCTAACTCCACACAGACAGTCACCCTAGGCTGGAATTGAACCTAGGTCCCTGGTGCTGTGAGGCAGCAATGCTAACCACTGAGCCAGTTGCCGCATAATTTTGTACACCTCTATCTGATGCTCCCTCTTGGTCTTCTCTGCTCTAAGGAAAACAATCCCATTCTATCAAGTCTCTCGACATAGCTTATATGCTCCAGTCCAGGAGCTGGTCTGTCACTGGTGCAGCCACTTGCTTCTCTAGTGTGGTGACCAGGACTGCAAACTCTACTCCAGCTGTGGCGAAATTAACATTTTATACAGATGCATCATAACCTCCTGTTCTTGTATTCAATGCCTCAATTAATAAAGATCAATATCTAATATGTGTTCGTTACCATTTTGTTGACCGATCATATTGCCTTCAACGATGTGTAAACATGCACAGTGACATCCCTCAGATCCTCTGTACTTCTGATGGTCCTACCATTCATTGTGCACTTCCTTGCTTTGTTATTCCTCAAAAAACGCACCATCTCATTTTCAGGAATACATTTCATTTGTCACTATCCTGCCCATCTGACCAATATATCAGTTTTCCAGGATCACCTTTGCCTGTTGCATACCCAGAGAGATGTAACCATAGAGATGAAGAAGGAGATTTTCCTGCACACTCATGCTGATCAAGACAGTGATGACAGCATGGAAGCAATTCTTGTGGCAGGCAGGAAGAAAGATATACCTGGCTGTTATAAATGGGATGGATTTAAAGGCCTGAACCATATCATGCATCATGCACTGCACTGCACTATCCTCTGCTTTTAATTTGATTTCATGGATGTCTGTTGTTTGATTTGCTGCTACCTTATTTTGCATTAACCCTCTGGACAAATAAGTGAAGGGCAACCTAATTTAATACTAAAAATATCATAAATATTCATGTTTTGTGTTATTATCTCCTTTTGAGACAGTGTGTATGTTAGATGTGTGTCCATAACCTAATCTAGTCTTCATCTAGGTTCTGAATGAATGAAGAAGTTGCATTAATTTGAAAATCTGCAACTGGTGCTGCCAACTGGTAAGGTCCTGAGGAGTGTTGTGGATTAGAGGGACCGAGGAGTACAAGTACATAGGTCATTGAAAGCGACATCACAGGTGGGGATTCTTTGATGCTATAAATGAGGTGGACAGGATGGTTTAGCATGCTGGCTTTCATAGGCCAAGGCATTGAATATAGGAGTTGGGATGTTATGTTACATTTTGTAAGTCGTTGGTGAGGCCACACTCGGAGTATTGTGTACAGTTTTGGTAACTGTTATAGTTAAACTGGAAAGTGTGCAAAGAAGATTTACGAGGATGTGGCCAGGACTAGTAGGCTTGAATTGTAGGGAAAGGTTGGCCGGGATAGGACTTTATTCCTCGGAATGTAGGAGACTGAGCGGTATAAAATCATGAGGGGAAAAAATAAGATGAATGTATATAGTCTTTTTCCCAGGGATGGGGAATTGAAAACTAGAGAGCATAGGTTTAAGGTGAGAGGGGATAGATTTAAGAAGGACCTGAGGGGCAACTTCTTTGCACAGAGAGTGGTGTGTATGTGGAATGGGCTGCGAGAGAATTTGGTTGAGGCAGGTACGATAGCAACATTTAAAAAACATTTGGATAGGTACATGGATGAGAAGGATTTAGAGGGATATGGGCCAAATGTGAGCAATTGGAAATTGCTGAGTGGGCACCACGGTCAGCATGGACCAGTTTGGGACGAAGGGCCTGGTTCCATGCTGTATTACTCTATGACTCTAAGTCTGATGTGGTGATTTTCTTGAATTGTCTGCTTACCGACTAATCTCTGGTTTAAGCTTGGAGAGGCAAGCTGGGAATTGAGCAAACTGCAATATTGATATCAAAGGCAACACATTTAACGGTGCCTCCTCCATCTTCTCTGTGTTACTGGGTATGTCTTCAACATGTTAACTGAGCTACTTGGGAGATGATCATTAGGAATCAATATGGGCTCTGAAGCACTGTAAAGGTTTAAGACCTGAGATTCTGTTCATGTACATAGAATTAGGTGCCGTGAGATTCTGTCTCCTGGGACAGTGCAAACTCTAGTGGAGATTTGGGGGAATTCCTTTAGAAACAAAAGTGGAAAAGAACTTAGCAAGCTGTTTGCAAGATAATCTAATATTATTTTAAATGATCACGTATTATTTGGCATTAAATGAGATTATGTAACAAAAAGAAAAATAAGAAAAACAAACAGTACTCCTGAGAATTGGTACAACCTCTGGCTTCACAAATTGCTGTCTCCTCCATAATGCTGAGCCCTGGCACTTCCAGAGTGGTCTCAAAGTATTTGTGAAAAAGCAAGTACTTTGGGCCCTGACGCTGGATGGGTTTGCACTCTTGTTGTATACTGCTTTGTCTTGCAGCTTTGTTAGAAATTTTGCTTTGAAGACTCAATCTTACAGAAATATATTGTGATAATTCCAGTTTGAAGTTCTTTGCATATGTAACTATGAAAGAAGGTCATGTGCAGTTGTTTGGGTGCTTCACATGCATAATGTATTAATAGGAAAATCTGTAGCTTGTATACAGAGGCATATTTTGTATATAGAGCTGCCTTGTAATCTTAACTTGGGCTGATTTTCTGATATTGCTAAACTTTGTCTTCAATTCCATCCAGATCCTCTGAACATGGAACACAGCAGTGATCCTTTGTTTTTCTGGTCTCCCATACACATTTTGAATGCTTTTCATTGGATGAGCATTGAATGATGTAGTCTGCCTTTGGCTCACTGTTTGAAAGGAAATTATTGAAGACAGAATCATTTGTTGTCATTGCACCATTCCTTACTAGAGGCAACTTGCTGCCTAACATTTTCCGACTGCAAGTAGGTTCTGTTTGTCTTTTCGATACTATGTAGTATTTCACTTGGAGCTGGTGTACTCGGTCGCCACTTTTGTGTCCTTCAACATGGCATGTTTGGCCAACTGCCTGGGCAGCAGCAGGAGCCTGGCAATCTGGATCTCTCCGAACTGCTTGAAATGAGCCAGGCAGGAAGCCTCCCACATGATATGCTCGAAACTACCATTGACAAATGAGTTCATGATAGCCTTGGAGGAGATGCTGGTATCAGGGTGAACCAGCTTCATCATTTTATAGGTGTAGCTGGTGTAACTTTCTTTCTCCGCTTCTTCCTGCCCTTCTCTGGCATCTTTTTGATTATTTTCTTTGCACCCTTCTCTAGAGATTTGCTGCATTTTCTTCTCATCAGCCAAAACAATGATCAATTTCAAACAAAGAATCTGCAAGCAGATTCTATCCTTGTTACATGACCCATCTAAGTGCAGCAGTTCTTTCATATTTTCTGCTCTGACATAACCTCTCAGCTCTTTTAATGTTGACCGAGCTGACACACATTCTGAAGAAATCTTTTGCACATCCACCCATTCAAGGGATTCATACACAAAAGCTGTAATAGAAAGTAATTGCCTGATTCACGGTCACAGCATAACCTTGGTTGCTTAAATACACTGACACTGTGTAAGAGCTCCATCTACATTTAGTTGAAGATTCACCCTATGTTTTCATGGCAAGACGGCTCAAACTGAAGGAAACGGACTGAACTGGAAGAAAATGCAAAAGTGACAAGTTGTACATCACCTGGGGAAAATTGTCACAGATAGCCTTCCAGTTAAAACTTTATAAGTTGGACCTTATCCAATAGTCCCACACAGGAATACCCACCTACACATACATATTACACACTACTTTTTTTCTTATAAAAATACACAATTTTACACAAAACATTTATCAAAGTATATTACAGAACAGTTCAAATGTGACAGTACATAAAGTGCAATACAGTTCACTTTCCTCAGTACAAGGACTGCAGTGGTGCCTCACTACACTTACAGTTACAGGATATCATTATATTTTACACTTTGCATTTCATTTCACAAATTCTCTGGGCATAGAGTTGAAAGGTTTTATATGGGTTCCAACTCCTCATTGTACAGCAGGAGGGCCTGGACTATGGCCTTTGCTCACATAGCCATTGCACAGTTAGCATCTTGTAACAAGTCCATCATTCTTGACTTGAAGTATGTGTCTGTCAATATTGCCGATGATCCAGGACAAGATAGTAATTCACAATAGTCTGCACCCACGGCCCTGTGTATCAATACATCTATACACATCCTGAAGGATGCAATAAATGGATTTGAGGAAAGAGCATTGGGGTGACTCGCCGTATCTGAGATGGTGTATATGGTGGCAGAACAAATGCAGGAACCTGCTGACCCATAGTCACTTAGCTGCCATTTATGATCCCTCATCTTGCTTAATAGCAATACAGTGACTTTGGGAAAGTGGTGGATATGCTGACTGGTGAGCCAATCACATATTTGCTATGTAGGTGGTCATTTGCTAATTCATCCATTAATTCCTGGAAGGCAAGAAGGGGAGAAACTCTATCACTGTTATTGTTCTCTCTATGCTGAAGGTTATGCAACTAACAGCATAGCTGCGCAGAATAGAACCTCCGCAGCTATTTGTCCTTGATCGTTACAGCATTGCTTGGCCTGGAAATAATATGGTGCCATAAACACCTATGAGGCTCCAGTCCTTGCTGACCCATAAACTACTGTACTTCAGCTGTTAAATAATGCTGTTAGGATGCTTTCAACATAGGCCTTATAGTTCATTTTACATTGTCGTACGAACTGGTCAAGGACTCATTATCTTTTTTTAGAGGTTAAGTTGAAATTTTGTGTACTAATAGCTCCCCCTTGTATCCGTCATATTGTAAACTATTCTCAGTTTCTACCAAACTCCTGTAAATGCTTCAATGCCAATGGGCTTCCTGGGAATGATATGAAATGTATTTGGATGTGTTTGTTACTGCAGGAGTACAACCATGTTCTGATGCCAACGAAAAGTTTATTCAAAAAGAACAATGGGAAATTGCAGAGAAAACTGCATGAAAATATTTTATGGAAGTCAAATTAAAATAATTGGGAGAAAATGTTCAAATTGATTTTGCACTTTTGATGGTTCCTTTAAGTTTACAGGTTCTACTTATGCTGACTGTTGCCCTTTGCACGCGTGTGTGGCATATTGTTGAGGACAATGGGAAATTGCACATGTTAGAATTCAAATATTTGCAGAAAATGTGTGACAAATCTCAGTAGTCATTAAACATTGACTGGAAAATTGCAAAAGACAGATTTCCCTCAAAGACTCAGTGGGATTGCATGTCACTAATTTCTTAGGCCTTTTCAGTCCAACCTCTCTCTGTGGGTTAGAAAATATTAGGCGTATTTGGTAGAAAACTATTTCTCAGTCTATGTGAGCAGATTTTCTTATCACAGTTGGCAAGTAAAACCTTGTGAGATTGAAGTCCACTGTGATGTATGTATATGAGCAAACAATCGATAAAGACTAAATTTGTGTGTGACAGCATAATTAGTAATTAAAAGATGAGTGTTTCAGTTAGATGCCTACAGAATGTAATTGAGTTGAGTATGTCCTTGAAGTATAAACTGTATTCAGGATTGCCCAAACATGGAAGATTTGAGTGAAAGTTGATTTGTGAAATAATAAAAGCCATTTTTTGCTGCAGTACTCAGTTCTGGTTAGTTGTTGGACAGGTCAACTAAATCAGGGGTGTTCTCTCCAGTGTAATGGCCAATATTTAAACCTCAACCAACATCATGAAAAGAAACAGATTATCTTGTCATTATCACATTGCTATTTGTGGAAGCTCTCAGTGTGCAACTGGCAGCACAGCAGTGCCTGACATTACAACATTTCAAAAGTACTTCATTTGGTTGTAAGGTGCCGAGGAAGTCCTGAGGTCATGGAAAGTACTCTATATATGCAATTTTTTTCTTTCAAATAACCTGGTTAAGACATATCATTTTTATGTAACATTGTGTGGCTTCATTACTTCTTAACAATGTATAGGACAAATGGATTTTGATTCATTTTATAACAGTTAAGTGAGCAACTGATATTTCTATCAAATGCAAGGAACAAGATAATCTCTGACTGACATCAATTATATTTCATTACAATTATTGAATTATTCTGGCTGACAGAAATTAGGCACTTCGTTGTAGAGTTTATGCGAGTAATGTCAGCATATTCTGGATTGAATTGTACAAGACAGCAGATATAATTGGAATATTTTGTGTGTAAGTTAAAAACCATTGGCACTCATGTTTTGCATGAACTTTTACACGGGTGCAAAAGTAAGTTCATCCAAATCAGGCACTGCTACTAAACTAAGCCATAGCCATCACACTCTTTTGAGCTACAGTTCGAAATTGTGAGATATCACTGATTGCACTGTGTCTGGAAGGATTCTCAAATTGCACTAATTGTCTCAGGCATCCAGCACTAGAAGATATATTTTTAGATATTTTTAATCTCAAAAATGATTGAATTTACTGAACTGATTTGTGTATACCAATTAAGCTAAGAGATGTTTTAGCATAGTTTGTGAAGTCATTTTTCGATATTTAAATTAACACTTTTTTACTGATAAATTCACTTCCAACTAAATTATTAGAATTGCAGGTCACCACTTTTAAATACATCAACAAATATATTTAATAGAAAACAGCAAAAAGAAAGATGGGGCAAATTTTACATTTTTCGGCTAAGTGTGAGTTATGTTGAGTTTTCATTATGAGGCTTAGCAAAATTTCTTGCCATATCTTACCAGACACACTTCACTAATACCAAGCCCGGTCTTACGGCATTCGTCTTTCTGATCCCTGCACCATTGTATCGTGTGTTATTCCTAGATTTTCTTGCAACTCAGTGGAAACCCACTGAAAGATGAGCATCCCTCATGCTTGCACCATATTTAAAAGGCCGCTATGCATGTGGGATGAGCATTGGCATTCCTCAACTGCTCTGCTCAGTGATGTGAAGATTTTGAATCCGTTGGAGAAGGGGAAGACAGCACCGCAATTGTCTAACAGGGACTGGGATCTCCTGGTCGAGGGGATGGTGCAAACGAGAGGTTCACTTCTCAGAGAACTGGCAGAGGAGGCCTTGACATCAGACCGTGGCAGCCTGGTCTGAGGTCACCACCTGGGTTAGTGCCGTATTCTCAGTCTGGAGGACCAGCCAGCAGTGACACAGGAAGCTAAATGCTGCAAAACGGTAAGTTTCACCCTCTGCTACCTCACACTCACTCTATCTCTGCTGCTGCAGCCACCTCTCACAAAGGCTTATGGTCTCGTTCTTGCCAGCAACATCTTCTCTCACTGTCTCACTGTCCCTACCCCACAATGTGCCTGAATAAAAACCGAAAGAACTGCGGATGCTGTACATTGGGAACCTAAAGAGAAGTTGCTGGAAAAGCTCAGCAGGTCTGGCAGCATCTGTGAAGAAAAAGTCAGAGTTAACGTTTCGGATCCAATGACCCTTGCTCAGTTCTGGGGAAGGGTCACCAGACCCGAAACATTAACTCTGATTCTTTCTTCACAGATGCTGCTAGATCTGCTGAGCTTTTCCAACAACTTCTGTTTTTGTTCCCACAATGTGCCTGCTGTGCTACTTAGTCACTCTTGTGGGACACCTCACCACCTGCACCCACACTAACAGCTATACCAGACATACTCAGCTCACTCAACCCTTCCCTTTCTCTCATTCCAGGAGAAAACGGCCCCCAGAAGGGCATAGAGAGAACCTTATGAATGAAGGAGTGCATGACAATCTGCTTCATGCCCCCAGTGAGGACAGAGCCCTCGTCTCTGCAAGGGAAGACCAGGGCAGCTCCTGCAGGGATACCAAGACTTCAATGTTTCACTAACCCGTACATCTCTCCCCAACTGTGTTTGCCCCACACCTCTTTCCCATGCACTCACCTGAAACATGCTGCTTTGGACTTGCCATGGCTGACTTCCTGGACAGCAGAGGCACGGAGCCCCTGCTTAAGAACACCCTGTTTGGATGTCTAACCGTGGCCATTCCCTGGACTGGTATCAGAAGCTGCCGTTGACTCACTGTGCTGAGACCCCTTGACTGGCGGGTGCCTCCATGGACGCTGGTGGGGACTAAACTGCTAAGATTTTGAGACAGGGCTGCCTGTTTGCTGCACATGCAGTGTGTTAGCCATCTAAACTGCTGGCCCTTGGTGCAGGTGTGAGATTGATGTTGCACATTACTGCACAGTAAGACGTATACCTTCTTGAGGTCTGCTGACCAACAAAGCAAGCTGCCTGGTTTGTGTGACAAAATGTTA